GATGACATTCAAGCACTCAACTAATATTTATTATATTTCTACTATATTCAAAGCATTGTGGAAAAATGATGTCATTGGTCCTCCAAAGAGTGAGGTCTCTAGTAGTGGTGGACAGATACGAAAATAACTTAAGTTCCATTGTATTAGGGAGTAACTTGGGATAAAAAAGAACATAGTCTAGATACACAGACTGACTGGGTTTAAAATCCAAGACTTTGTAACTGGGTGATTGTACCTCGAACTTATTTTATTTATCATTTATAAGCTATGGATGAAAATACCTATTTCAAGGGGGTGTTGCCAGGTGAGGTGGCACACACCTGTAATTCCATAAGCTAGGGAGACTGAGGCAGGAGGATCGTGAGTTTAAGGCCAGCCTCAGCAAAAGTGAGGTGCTTAGCAACTCAGTGAGACCTGTCTCTAAATAAAATACAAAATAGGTCTGGAGATGTAGCTTAGGGGTCGAGTGCCCCTGAGTTCAATCCTTGGTACCAAAAAAAAAAAAAAAAAGGTGTTGAGGGACCAAGCAATGTCTGTCTTATAATAGTTACATAAGAGAGATGGGAGTAGTCTCTTCTTACAGCAGGACTTCTTCAATTTTAATTGCATCCAATTGCCTGAGAATTTTTTTTAAATGAAGATCTAGTTTGGTAGGACTGAGGTGGGGGCTGAGGTTCTGCATTTCTAACAAATCCCCAAGTGATATTCATGATATTTCCCAGACATGGCACTTTCATTAGCAAATGACTAGAGATTATATTTTGTTTTTATTTTTGAGGAGCTGATGCTGGAGGTGAGTCTTAAAAACGAATAGGCGCCATTCAAGAAGACAGTAGGCAGTAGAAATGAGGGCATTCCAGGAGGACAGAAGGAAGTATGGGGCTTGCCAGTGCTAAAAGAAATACAGGAGAACGAGGAGACAGGAGGAAGAACTTGGAGAGAGGAGTTCAGGATGAAAGACCAAGGCAAAACAGAGGATCTTTCATGCCTTGCCAGGAGCTATTTATTTTACAGGTAATGAGGAACCACAAGAGGATTTTAAAATGTGGAGGATGTGATCAGCTATGAGACCTAAAATTATTGCCCCGAGAACACTGGGAGGATGAGAGGATGACTGGCATCAGAAGGGTCCTGGGCTATATGTGCGAGATGGAAGGCGTAGGAGCCACTTGGCAATGGTAGTGTGGACTGAGGCAGAGATGCCTGTGGGGGACATCCAGGATATGGAATTGATGGAACTTGGGCATTCATTAAATATGAAAAGAGGAAATAAAGTTTAAGGTTCCTGCCAGCCTTCTGATTTAGGTTACTGTGTAGGTGATAACATCACTTTCCAAGTAATTCAGAAGGATAAAAAGTGATTCAGGAGGAAGAGAAGAGTTTATAGAAAAGAAAACGAGTTGAATTTGGGTATATGTTCTATTTGTGCAACATCCAAATGGAAGTATCTACCTAGCAAAGTTGGAGTTACCGGAGAACAGTTTGGGAGCTGTTCTTTATAAAATGTCAGATAGTGTTGTGGAAATAGGTTCCATCATTCAAGGAGAATAACAGAGAGAGAAGCAAGAAAAAACAAGATAGGATTCTATTTGGAAACCAACATGAGGAATTAGCAAAGGGAGAGAAACCTACAAAAGCAACCTGGGAGAAATTATTAGGAAAAGAGACTCATAATCAGGGAGAAATACTACCAGAAAAGCAGAAAATATTGTCAGGCAGATTTCTAGAATTTCCAGAAGAAACTGATAGCTATATCAAATGCAGCTGAAATCAAATAAATTAGAACTAAAAGCTAGGAATTGGTGATATTCATCAAAGTATTTTCAGTGAAATAATGTAGAGGGAAGCCAGATTGTGGCAGGCTAAAAAATGAATGTAAGATAAGAAAGCAGAAATAGACAATGTAAAATATTCTTTCTAGCAGTTTGGCTATATTAGGAAAAGTTCATAAACAGTGGCCAGAAATAGTTCCAAAGTTGGGTGTTCCACTTAATTGATTGATTAATTCACTTATTCATTCATTTGTTGCCCCAAGCACATTATGGCTTCTGGGAAGCATAAGTAAAGAGGAAGCATTGAAAAATAGGTCAAAAGAAAGACTAAGAAAACAATGCTTAGGAGAAGCAGCACAATTCATTTGAGACTATAGGAAATAAGGTGGAGTTGGACATTTGTGCAAATGGGTCACAAGATGTAGGGATGGATATTGCACACTTGGTAGCTCAGGTTTATTCTGTAACATGGAAAGCAGGATAATTGACTGGGCGCACCTAGAGATTAAACTGTGTAATGAGATTTAACTTCAATCTTGGGTGGTTGTTTTCAAATGTGACCCTCTGCTCACATTTTCTTTGAAATTGCCCATAAAAGTTGCTGATGCTACCTCACAAAAAGAAAGGAGCATGTGTTTCATGAATAGAGCATCCTCTGGTATACCAATCTCTTATTAAATTCCAAACAGCAAGCTGGCCTTCTTTCCTTTGCACTCTATTCATCTGGTTTTCCAGTTGACAAGAGGAGATAGAGATAGAAAGATGGATGGTGTGTGTGTACGAACATATGTTGTACTCTACAGGGGTGATGACATCTATAGGACCATCAAAGAAATCTTCCAAGGTTGTAGAATGAAAATGTTGAAAACTGCTGCTTTTCTTCTTACTTAGTACATACCTTAAAACTCTTTAACCCAAATAGTTTTATATGCCAAAATTCTTGTGTTCATTTTTCCTTGATAATCATGAATCCTCAACTTCCTACTCCAGTTCTCAGCTAAATCTCATTCTACAGTTTATTAACTTAAAATAGGAAGCTAATGGCCCTTGCTGAGTAGCAGAGCAACAGCCTACTCCAGTAGTTTTAGGCTTCAATCTTCTGGACGCCTCTGCTGAGTTCTGAAGGTCAACTGCAAGTACAGACACAAACCAGTTGACTCATAAATCCTTGTTTTCTTAGAAATGGAAAGAAGAGGAGGAAAAGAGGATAGGGAGCAGAAATAAAGTTTAGAATATAAATATTATTATTCTATTTTGAGTTACATCTACTTGTAGAAAATACTATTTTAATTTTTAAATGAATTTAAAAGCTCTGTAATGACCAATTATAAGCTTGACCCCCTTCAGTATGTATTTTATTAACTAAACTTCCCCACTGATAGTCGTACCTTTTCTCAATTTATTTCCCAAAATACTTCTTAAATATTAAACACTGAAGTTTTTTTTTTCATCTCCCTAGACATTCAATTCCTCAGAAGTCTCCAGAACTTTCTTAAATTATACACCATGAAGTTGATCAGTGATGTAGGGAGGAGCTGCAATGAGGGGCCTGTACTCTAGTAAACATCTCAGATAGAAAGTGGTTGTGCAATGTTTTTCCTCTGGATCAAAGTTTCTGGCACTTGTGGCTCCCAGGAAAGTATCAATGCACAGCATTTTGGAGCACATCCAGCAGGGTGTTCAGAATAATAGCTAAGGGCATAGACACCATGTTGGTAAAAAAAAAAAAAAATATTTGAAAGGACAAAAACCATTTAATCTAGAACCTCAGGAAACGTGAGACTTGTCTGTATTGGTGTATGTTTATATGCAAGTAAAAAATGCCAGTTCAAAATGACTCAAGGGGAAAAGCAGATCATTTGTTTAGGTACCTCAACTAAGGATTCTGGATCTGGGCAAATCTGGAACAATGGGCTCACACTAGGTCATTAGAACTTCACCTTCTTTCTCTATCTCTTGGTTGTACCCTTCTCTGTGTTGACTCTCAAGGCAGCTTTCCTTTTTGACTTAAGCAGTGCCATACTTACTTCCTAAACCTACTGCAACAGAATAGGAATTCCAGGAAAAATGGAATTTCCAACAAAAGTTCTGGACTCATTGCCTGTAAATGATTTGGATTTGGTCAAATCCCCAGATCTACCCCCTGGAAACTGTGTGATTCTTCAAGGAAAACCTTTGTTCTTTTCACACAAGAAGGCAAACAAATGCCAGACCTCAGATATCTTACACTGCCTTCGTATATGTGGTGGTCTCTCATGTGGGTTAAGAGATAAACTAATATGAGAAGCCCCAGAGGTGGGAAGCAGACCCCCTGCATCAACCTGACAGTAAAGCAGATTTCAGCTTACTTTGGCACACCATTAGCTGTTGAAACACCCAGCTTCAGATATGTCACGTACCAGATCCTTCCACATGTTCAGGTACAGGCCAGATGGGCAACTGTCAGGAGTACTGGTTAGGAATTCCTGCGTTAGGCAGAGCTTTGCCTACATGACCCATAAGGTCACTTTTGACTCTACAATTCTATTATCCTTGTTAATTTCCACAATTCAATTTGGAGTACAGGATAAACAAACCAACCTAATTTGATCTGGAACTTCTGCAGGCTATCACGGGTCATTTAATCTAAAACACATGGCCTAGCCATTACCATGTTTTCTGAAGTCATCTAACAGAGCTTATCCTTAACAAGGTCTCCATGTTATTAGTTTCACTCATGGCCTTTCCCAGCCCCCTGCTTATTCCACAGTTGCCTTTCATTCTCCTTTAGATTGGGGGAGAGGGAGGATATAAGAGTCACCTTCTTTCTGAATTTCTTCTCTTAAATCTTATAAACGATGAATCCAAATTAAAATGACATCAATTTCATCTTTACTTCACAACTGGACTTTCACTTTGCAGGGAGTTGATGAGAAATGGGAAATAATGCTACAGATAAACATAACTCTGGGAAAGTCTATTAAGGAAAAATTTCAAAATTAGGATAAGTTGGAAAACCACTTGTTTTACTCATTAAGAAATATATACATATGTTAAAATGATGTGTTTTATTTATTTAAATACATTTAAATAAAATATATATTTTTTTCAAAGCTGAAATCAGCCCCGACCTTACAACTCTGATTAAACTGGAACAGTCATGTTACAGAATCTAGCTTCAAATAAAATTTTGTTTTAGCCAGGCTATGTCCATCCTTAATAATAGATGCTGTTTCTCATCTTTTTCAGTGAACGTTGTGTCAATGTTACAGGAATTTTGGGAAAGCAAGCAGCAACAGCGGGCTGCATTCCCAAGTGAAGGTGTGGTCGTCTATGAGTCTCTGCCATCCTCCGGGCCTCCCTTTGTGAGTTATGTGACGCTCCCAGGGGGAAGCTGTTTTGGCAACTTTCAGGTGAGAGGCATCTACCAATTCATCAGTGAAAGTTACTTGGTTAAAATAGAACAAATCCTTTTGTAAAATAGTGAAGTTATGTGTTTCCTTGGATATAGTGAACAAATTTGTGCCATATCCTATCATATATACTGGAAAACTGGTCAGATGTTCCAATTTTTAAAACATTTTAAATTTAGCTTTATGTGAGAGTCTACCCTGATATTTCTTTATGGAAAATAAATTTTATAGCACAGCATTTTATTTGCCAGATAGCTGCTGCCCTTTCCTTCAAAAACTTCTGGAATAAAACTTAAAGAACTAGCAAGTGGCGACAAAGCCTTTCCATCAGGGCTTCCCATCAGGAGAAAGTGTCCACTTTTATAAATTTAATATTAATCAATTTAATCAACCTGCACACCAAAGCATGAACCAACAGCAAAGTGTTCAGAGTCACAGGGCTGCTATCAGGCATCAGTGCTAAGCCCAAGTCTGCCACTGCCTACCTGCATACCCTTGGGAAACCTATTTAAGTTTTTCATTTCCCATCTTTAAGATGTAGAACAGCATCCACAGGATTGGTTGGAAGTCTTATGAAATGTGCATGTTATGTGTTCAGCATGGTATCTACTACATCATAGGTATCCTGATAATTGTTTTTATTATAAAAATTCTTCCAGTTGGTTAAATTTCTATGTCTGTGTCTATAATAATAGACTTCTAGTTGTATACTTGTTCACACAAAAATATTTACCTACATTACCTCAACATTGTATAACAAAAACTAATTGAGTAACAGGAAGTATCAAGCAGTGGGCTGAGGTTATGGTTCCTACCCTGAAGAAATCAACATTTAAAAAAATGTTACAGAAATTATAGAGTTATATTTAAGAGTCAATGAGGTCTCAAGGAAGGAAACTTCTAAATTTACCATACCTCTTTATAAATAATTTTTAATGTAATGACCTCTCATTTTTTAGTAACTGGCAAAGATGCTTTCATTATAGTGTACACTGTGAAATTCATAAGCAATCAAGTATCTCTCTTAGCTTTGACAGCTGAGAATTCCAGAGGCAGATTTTCATTGTGTCCTTTTGTAGTGTAAGTCTACAGAACTTAATGTTATATCAATTTTAAGACTAACATCATGCCTGGTATTATTTGTGTTTCTATCTTTACTTTCCCTTCAAATATAATACCTCCTTCATTCATGTTATCCTTTTACCTGTTGTGTCTGTTTTACATTGTCTCAAGTCCTTGGTGGAATGAGGGATGAGTATAAATTAATAAAGAGACCCACAAACCTGTGCTGCCTTAGAGAAGTCAAAGGATTCCTAGGGGGCAAAAAGGCAAGTGGAGATGTGCATCGGAGAGTATTTTGGCCAGTCAAAAAAGGGAAGAACACAGTTGCAGCATAAGGAATACTGTGAGCAAAGGCACACAGCAAGAGGAGACCACAAACACTTGCAGAATTGTGGGACATGAGCATCATTCTGTGTGGTGAGGACCCATGCGAAATGACAGCTAGGCACTCCCATTGAACAACGAGAGACCATCACACCCTCAAAGGAGCACAGGTTTTATTCTATATAAAACCAACCTCTGAAGGTGAACAAATATATTTAGACATATTTCAGAAAGATTATTCTGGCAGTAGTATGAAAATGCTTTAGATCTAACTAGGTGTGGTAATGCACGCCTATAACCCCAGCTACTCAAAAGACTGAGGTAGGAGGATCGCAAGTTCAAAACTGGTCAGGGCATCTTAGGGAGACACTTATAAAATATAAGAACTGGGGATGCAGCTCAGAGTTAGAGGGGCTGATCAGCTGTGCGAGGCCCTGAGTTTAATCCCAAGTACTGGGGGGAAATGCATTAGATCTAAATGAAGCTAAAGACCGAGAGACCAACAGGAGTCCCCATGGAGGTAAGCTGCATTCAAAAGTGGTTAGAAGGTAAGGGTGAAAGGACTATAGTAGGACAGGTGTTAGGGTGACACCTCAGCTTTGACTTTAATATCTGGACAAAAAAACACAAGGGAAGGAAGAGCAGGTTTATGGAAGATGAAGACAAAGTTCATGTGAGGTAACTGGAGGCCCCCCAGAGAAAGAACTGCAAACAGCCCTCCAGAGAGAGATGACTTGTATATTTATACATTCCTGAGCTGAAGCCACCATGGCCATAGGTAGTGATGAGTGTAAAGTCCTTGATAACCTTCAGAAGAGTGATTTCAGTGAAGGATTGGGACACAACTCAGACTATAGAAGGTTAGAGGGTCAAGAGAGACTTAGGATGCAGGCTGCATACCTCAGTAAGGATTTAGAGGACTCCCTCTTACTCCTATGGTTAACTTGGGGAAACTGGAACCATCTTGCTTCGTGTCCAGTGGGGAACTGGTGAGAAAGAATGCTCTCATCTAATTGCCACCAGTGACTTCTGGACATCTAATCTTAATTAAAACTGGGAAGGACAACTAATACTGAGCCCCAATATTCAGACAGTCATCAAATAGCTTTCAGAGTCAACAAGATGAACTGCTCATAGAATATAAAATGTCAGGATGTCTCAAGATTGAATCAAGATGATGGACTTAGCACATACCTCAACCTCTTTTGTAGTCTAAAATGACTTGAAATGTTAAAGAAGCATTCAAAAATATGTAAATTCACAATAATGATGGACAACAAGAAAGGGTGGCACTGGAAGAGCTGAACCTTGAGACAGTTCTGGGAGATGAAAGTGGAATCAGATTATCAGGTGCAAAAATACTATAGTCTAAACCCACTCAGGAGGAATGTACTGTAAAGGTAAAGAGGAGCTAGAGAAACTCCAGGAACAGAAGAACAAATGCAGAGAGCAGGAAGGTGTTCTAGAATAATTTTAAAGCTAATTAAAGAACTGCTTCCAAAACTTCTGACCCACAGAGCCAGTGAGGTATTGCTGTCCCCTTCCCCGAGCAGGAGTCAGCAGTGGGTTTTGACATCTGACGAATGGAAGCAAATCACCTAACGAAAGCAGTTTGCATGTGGGTTTCAGAACAGAGCTTGACCAGAATAAAGGCAGGGAAGTAGGAAGAAAGGCAGCAATTGAGAAAGAAGTTCTCTAACTCATGTGTACCTACAGGTCCACAATTGAGCATCCTAAGAGGATGGCTGCCAGTGAACATAGCCTTCCTGCTCATCCAAAGGGCCTGTCAGCAGTTCCAGTGGGGAGACTCCCTAGAAAACACACTCAGACCAGGGAAAGGTCTTGCTGGCCACCTCAAGTAATAGGTATCTTTGTCCATGAATGTTAGTGAACTAAACGTCTGAGGAAAACCAAAAGCATAAGAGAAAAGGCCAAGGCGAGCAAACAAAAACACAAAATAATTCAAGCAATACAGAAAGTAAGAGAATATTATAGTAGACATTCTGGGAAAATGTTGAAAGGAATTTGCCCCCTAAAACAGCTATAATAAAATGAACAAGCAGGATACAAGAGATAAAATATATTATTGTTAATTTAGAATAATAGAAAGAACAAATAAAAGAGGTGTGAAGAGTTGAGTAGACATAGATGAAAGCCAAATTAGTAATAGGTAGCAAATTAAAAAATAATAATACAATAAGTCTTCAAGAACTTAAAGCAAAAAGAGCATTGGAGGATGAAAGTATAGGAGATGTGGAGACAAATCCTAAAGATGCACATTAATAAGAGCTCCAGAAAGAGGCATGAGAAATAGAGGGGAGGGAATAAATAACAGAAGCAATTTTCTTTGAGTTAAATAAATTCACAAGTTTCAGATTGAAATGGCCCAGCATATTTCCAGCCGGATAATGATAAAAAAAATCACACAGCTCTGTGACTAGGTAGCACTTAAAGACAGGTTCTGCTTAAAAGTGACCAAGGAACCTTTTTTTTTTTTTTTTTTTTGATATAGCATCTGTACATTATTCTGGTTTTCAAATTACATTAAATGTTTAGGTATTGATGAGGGAATTAGGAAAACTGATGAAAGGGACAAAAATGGGGAAACTAGGTTAACAAACCAAAATCTGTGTCTTCAAAAAAGAAACAAACAAAAAAGATATATCTTTGTCATTTCTGATTAGGCAAAAATCAAGGCATATCCCTCACTAAGTGTAAAAGAAGGGATTAAATCATAGGAGTGTAATACAAGAATATTTCACGAATCTTATTAAAAAACGTGTTAGTGAGTTTTCAGTTATTGTGACAGAATACCTGAGATAAACAAAATACTTGAGATAAACAACCGGTGAAGAGGAGAAGCTTATTTTGGCTCAGTTTTTGAGGTTTCTGTCCATGGTCACTTGACCCTGTTGCCTTTGGGCCTGTGATGAGGCCATGCATCATGGCAGGGAGCAGGTGGTGGAGGACAACTGCTCAACTCATGATCGGCAGGAAGTAAAGAGAGAGGAAGGCATGAAGGTCCCAAAATACCCTTCAAGAGCATGCTCCCAGTGATCTACACTCTCCAACTAGTCCCCCCCCCCCACCTCGCTCCTAAAGTTTCTACCACCTCCCAATTGCATCACCCACTGGGAACCAAGCCTTCAACACATGAGCTTTGGGGAAAACATTTGAGATCCAAATCCTAACATTAACCATTTCCATACTCACACAGTGACCTACTTATGAATGCTGTTTCTACCTTCTCTTTGGGTCTAAACCCTGCCCTATCTGAGGACTCCATGCCATGTTATATTCTCAACAAATATCCTCTGAATCTTTCTACTAGAAATCTCTGCCTCTGATTTCCCAAGGCCATTATTTATCTTTCTTTTCTGATGTTTCATGTTTGCTACCTTCTACTGACTTTACTGTGTATGTTCTATCACTGAAATAAAATGTAAGTGCCTCAGGGACAGCATCTATAGTATGTCCCTCATGATTTTAAGCACATTTGTCATATAATAAATGCCTAATAGATTTTGTTGAATGAATATGGAAATGAATAACAAATCTGAAGAATAAATGAAGTTAATGGCATTTTTGTACATAATCAATAGTCAGTAAAGATA